AATTGCATCATAATAATAATATTTTCAAATTTGTAATATATTTCATAAATTATCAAATTCTTATTATAATGATATCACATTGATATGGAATCGATATCGATATTTATATCTTAACGATATCGAATCAATATCGTTACGATATTATTGATTCGATGTCGATACGATATGGTTATAATATAGTTACGATATGGTTAACGATATCAAATCGAGGTTGATGCGATATCAAATCAATAATGTCATAACGATAACAATTTGATATCGAAACATTATTGTAAAGATATGGATTCGATGTAGAATCCATATCATTTGTTATATCATAACAATAATAATTCTATATCAAATCCATACCTTTACGATAACAATTTGATATTGAATCATTATTGTTATAATATGGATTCGATGTAGAATCCATATCATTTGTTATATCGTAATAATAAGGATTCTACATTGAATCCATACCTTTACGATAACGATTTGATATCAAATTATTATCGTTACGACATTATCGATTCGATATTACATCAACCTCGATTTGATATCGATAACCATATCATAACCTTATCGCAATAATATCATATTGATATCGAATTGATAATATCATAACGATATTGATTCGATATCGTTAAGATATGAATATCGATATCGATTCCATATCGATGTGATATCATTATGATATCAAATCAACATAGATATCGTAATGATATCAATTCGATATCATTACGATATTATTGCAATATTGAATCGATATCGTTAGAATTTTAAGGGTTTCTGTAAAGAATGCATTAGCAAATTATCAAAAACTTCAAAATTATAAAAATTTTAATTAAATATTTTTTTTTGCAACTTTTAAGCCATTAATCCGAATATCAGATGAAACTACAACTAGTAAATGCAAAGATTATCATATATCATTATATTATTTGGTAGGATTTAAAATTTATAGAACAGCTTTTTTATTAGTTTATGAATTTTAATAACAAAGTAAGATAATATTCATTCACATTATAACAAATTTAGTTTAAGAATAATGGCTTATGCATTACAAATTGGCTAAGTAATTAAGCAATTTTCTTTTCAACAATTTTAACTGTTTTAAGATTTATAACTAATTATGCGAACATAAATGATCTACTATTACCTGATAAATTTATATTTATTTATTTATTTAATTTAAAAAATTATTAATATTTTATGCTTATTTTAGGATGTTATTTATATAGAGATACAATAGCTATTATATTTCTTCCTATAAGTGATAACTATGAAGAAAAGTCAGATGATTATATTAGTTTTTTAACATTTTATTTAATTTAAAAGAAAGATATACCAGAAGTTAAGTTTCTTACTAAAGATAGGCATCATAATTATGAAGTTGTAACTAGGTAAGTTGCAACTCCTTGTAAATTTATTTTAATATAAAAATTCATAAATAGATGCAACTCAAAGAGTTACAACTTAAGATGTAACTAGTTAAAAATTTTAAAAATAATTATGAGAACCATCTTTATTTCTTACTCTATGAAGTGATCTTTATAATTTTTATAAAGATATGTGTCTTCATTCAACATATTAGGCAAAATATAAGATTGAAAAAATGTAAAGAAATGGGACTATCATATTAATTGGACTAATTGTAAAAGAGCTATTTATAATTCATTTGCCATTTTTATCACAAGTGATATTATTTATTTGAATTTAAATATATACAGTATAATAAACAATAATTAAAATAATTAAAATTTTGTAAATTTAGGGTTCCATATATTTCAAATCTTTATATAAAATTTCGATTTTTGAAATATATAAACAGTTCTAACTTGAGTAATTTTATTTTAAATTACATTTAAATTTATATAAAATCAACAAATTTTAAATTTTTTTTTTATAATTAAGAAAATTATCTTATCAAAAATTCAAATGTGTTGGAAAAGGTGCTGATGTTGCTGATATTATCATTTCTTTAGTATATCATTAATTTACTTATTTTAGTTTAAGAAAAAAAAGAATTGTCATTCATGCAAATAATTGTTTAGGACAGAATAAAAATAATTTTATGATTAAATACCTGATATAACGTATTGAAAATGAATTATATGATAAAATAACTTATTATTTTATGGTAGTTGATCATACAAAATTCAGCCTAGATGGTTTTTTGGGGTTTTTAAACTCAAACTTAGGAACTCAGAAGTGGATTATTTAGCAGATTTAGTAAAAATAATAGAAACCTCAACAAATGAAGGTTATAATATAGTACAGACTATCCTATCCAAAGAAAAAAAAAAGATCTGCTCCTAAAAAGAAGTAAAAACAAAAAAGAAAAGAAAAGAAAAGAAAAGAAAAACCTCTGAAGATTCCCAAAGGACCCTTATTTAATTATTTTTATTCTATAAAAAAAAAAGAATAAAAAAAAATTAAATTAATTAAAATAAAAAAAACCAATTAAAAAAAGAAAATCGATTAATCTAAATGATCGATTTCCATAAGAATAGAGCAAAAAGACACACCATCTATTACGGACACTACTGCCCTTCCAACCCTTACACCTACTGGCACTACTACAATTCATTCATCAGGTAAAATAATATATTGTTATAAATACAACGAATCAAAAATTATACAAAATTCACATACCTTAATTTTCAAAGCATCACCAACGGGATCGCGCACTGGATCGACTCCGGAGTATCTTGATGAGATCAATTACCTATTCTTGGACCGCTAAATAAAAAAAATATAAAGAGGTAAGTTTACCAATTGATCCCTTTTATCCGCTTCATGTAAAAATCCAACAAAATAACAGATGTAACTAACTTACCTTTTATAGCTGATCGAATTTTCCAGTTCTATAGATGAACTTGGAATCGACAAGTATGATTGCATCACGAAATCTGGATCAATGGATTTCTCACGATGAGAATGATGCTTCCCAGGGTTCGTTTCATATTTTTTCATAACAAAAAATTAAGACGCCCATTTGCAGCAATTCATAAAACTGCTAAGCGGAATTTGGCTACATTTACACGCTTCTGATTAAAGAATACTAAGACATGACATGAACCGGGACAATCCTTTATTTACCTAGTAAATCGATCAATCTCATCACATCATCCCATATTAAACTGATTCCTACTCATGTTTTTACGCCCCGCAACAAACAAAATGAAATCGATTGCAGATTAAGAAATATTGTTTGAGACTACCGGTAATTTTATGGTTATAGCTAGCAATAAGATATTCAAATAATCAAATACAAAAAATATAAATTAACCAGTCTTTCAACCTAACGATTTAATTAAACAATGCAAATAACAACTTTAACATTTCAAATATTTTTTTGATTATAAATAGCGCAACATCATGTTCAGAATGTAATTTTTGTTTCACAAATTCATAAGAATAAAAAATCAGTCAGGTAAATATTATTTACGTAATTTCAATTTTTATGTAAAATTAGATTATTCCTGCGGCTATAATTTAATTTATTCAAACTTATTACATGTGAAACTGTAAAAATGGTGATATTACGTGATACCAAAATAAATTGTGTCACAT